TCTGTGTTTCTGTTTGTGTTTCTGTGTGTGTCTGTGTGTTTCTGTGTGTGTGTGTGTCTGTCTGTGTCTCTGTGTCTGTCTGTGTGTGTGTGTCTGTGTGTGTCTCTGTGTGTGTGTGTCTGTGTGTGTCTCTGTGTGTGTGTGTGTCTGTCTGTCTGTGTGTGTCTGTGTCTGTGTGTGAGAGGTGAGAGCTGCTGCTGGGAGCCAGGCTCCTTAACCAAGATGTGAGGGGGCCCAGGCGGCTGTGAGCAGGCAGGGCTGTGTGAGGGGCGCTCAGCCCGGGCTGTGTGAGGGGCGCTCAGCCCTGCCACTGCCAGCATGGCCGGCCTCCTCCTCCCACCTCCTCGCCAACAGAAATCTGGCTACAGCCCGGCTCTCAGGCACTGCTGGCCACTCCACCTCTGTGTGGGACTCAGCCTCTGGCTCCACGGCCCTCGGCTTCCCACCAGTGTGGGGCTGGTGGGGCCATGGCGCCTCCTGACAGGGACCCCTGGCCTCAGGAAGCACTTTCCATGCCGCCGGCTCCAGGCAGCCTGCTGCACCTCCTGAGTTTTCAGAAGGGCATTCTGTTGACAGTTTTAAACAATTTTAAAATGGCCCTGCCTTTTAATATTTGGAAAATGTGTTCTGTTCTGAAACGTACAGCTCTTCTGTAGCAACTTGGAATTTACTCCAACAGTGCCATGTTAAATTATTTTGGCAAAATTACGTCTGTTATACATGTAATGGAAAGATCAGTTAGAGATCCTAAGTAATTACACTAGCTTTAATAAAACCACATCAGCTATTTGCTCCTCTGACAGTAAAATTTAACCCCTTAAGTCAAAATAGAACTATAAAACAATGGGTTGCCAAAGAAATTTCCCACTGTGTAACAGAAATAGAAATATGTACCCAAATTTTCTTCTGAATCAGTTAAAAAAAGATGTTTCTATAGCTAAGGTTGAAGATTATTTCAAATATAATTTTCTCCCTCTTGAGTTTTTCAAAGCTCTTCCTCCTTTTGTATTTTTTTTAACATTTACTTTTGCTCTCTATCTCACATGCAAATAACAAACACTCCTGCATTAAATACCTCTAAGTCCCTGATGCAAGGGAACACTCAGCAGCCACTCTTTGCCAGGCAAAAACATATGGCTCAAATTGTCTGCCAAAAATAGTCTATCATTCCTACTATAAAACTGCTAGTTAGCTGGAAAAAACACACACACATCAAATACCCCAGTATCACACCAGAATTCTACAAATTCAGTATATTCTCTGAACACACAGAAATTAACTGGACCTATTTAAAATATACTCCATGAAGTCATTTACAATCACCCCTTAATTATATGTAATGTGTACAAGTGGGTGTGTACATACATGTATATAGTTTAAAAAGATGTATATATATATATATAAAAGTATGTGTGTCTATATTCAGAATGTTATTATTTCAGTATAGAGTGAAATAAATCCTTATTCACTGAGCAGATGTAGGCATCAGCTTGCTGAGTAGGATGAGAGAAGGGACTTCAGTACTTAGTTCACAAAAAATGCTTACTTGGCACATGGCTCAAATACTAGTACAAATATGAAAAAACAATAACTCCAAATCATAATGAAATGCCAAAATACAATAGGATGCCTCAGATTGATAAATGGCAATGTTTAAAGTACATCAGCTGAATATGATGGTATAAAAGTGGCAAAACATTTGAGATACTGTATCAGAAACTTCACTTTAAAAAAAAAACCCTGCTTTTTTAACTCGACACTAAGTAGAGCCAAAGTATGTGTATATTATAGATATGCACACCAAATAGTGAAGACCATGCGGAGCTATGCTGTGCCACAAATTTACTTG